TTCATGGCACCCGCCGTTCAAGTCACTTAGCCCCTGGTCGGCAAAGTGCCAGCGCTGGAGCGTGAGCGGGGTGGAGGGGTTGTTTTTGTGGGGATGGGTGCAGATATAGGGGCATGGGGGGGCCTTCACCCTTTCCTGTCCTACCCCACACCCTCAGCCCCTCCTTGAACCCCCGGTCTGTTCAAGTCACTCAGGCCCTGGTCAACAGCAGTGCCAGCGCTGGAGCACGAGCCGGGCGGAGGGGCTGGATTTGGAATTGGGGGGGGCGGGGTGGCCCCTCCGGGCCCTGCGACCAGCAGCCCTGCTCCGAGGTGCTGCATCGCCGCTGAATTGCTAAGAAGCCACGAGCTCGTTAAACCTGAACGAGGTCACCTGGAGCCCAAGCCCCTGCCCTGGCCCAACGTCCCAGACAAATCCCGCAGCAGCCTCTTTGTCAAGCCCCCGTCAGCCCTGACATCGCCGCCCGACCTGCCGCGGGGAGCCCCGGCTGCTAGAGCAGGCTGTTAATGGATCCCAGCCTGAGGCTCTGCCCCTGCTACAGCCTCCCACCCCCCGCAAACCTGGGCCCGTCTGAGCAGAGGGAAAAAATCCTCCCTGACCCCCACGTGGCATCAACGTGACCCCGAGCGGAGGAGCAGGACCCTCTAGCCAGGACCCTCCCGCTTTGGTCCCAGCAGGAGCGTCGGCACAGCCCAGACACGGCACCCAGCCAAGGGGCTTAAAACCCCCTGGCACGGAGCTGAAAGCAGGGGGGCAACTAGCACAGCCCAGCCCCCTGGGGGGCCCCAGGGCAGAGCACAGGCCTCAGCGCCTAAATCATCCCCGTCCAGCCCCTCCTGCGATGGAGGCCCCAGCTCCCCTGGGCGTCCACCCTGCCCCCTCCCTGCTCCATCCCCTGCTGCAACAGCGAGCCACGGGTCCGGGTCCTCATGGCAGCAGGAGAGGGCAGCCCTTCGTAGCCGGCTATCGGGTCCCCTTCAGCGGGCCGTGCCCAGCTCCGTCTGCCTCTCCTTGTGGGACTGGGCTCTCCGAGCCCTGGGTCATCTCCAGCCCTTTTGCAACTTAGACTCCTGGAAACAAGGGCGAGGAGGGACCTCGGGGGGTCGTCCAGGCCCCCCTGCTCCAAGCAGGACCGGCCCCAACTCCATCATCCCAGCCAAGGCTTTGCCTACCCGGGTCTTCAAAATCTCCAAGGATGGAGACTCCACCACTGCTCTGGGGAGCCTGTCCCAGTGCTTCGCCACCCTCCTCCTAACATCCAACCTCAACTTCCCTTGCTGCAGCTTGAGCCCATTGCTCCTTGTCCTGTCGCCTGCCCCCACTGAGACCAGCCCAGCTCCATCCCCTTTGCAACCCCCTGCAAGGAGGTGAAGGCTGCTATTCAATCTCCCTCGGTCTTCTCTTCTCCAGACTAAATCAGCCCAGTTCCCCCGGCTTCTCCTCACCAGTCACGTCCCCCAGCCCCACAACCATGTCCATTGCCCTCCACTTGACTCTCTCCAATGTGTCCACAACCTTTCTGTAGTGGGGGGCCACAGCTGGACACAGGACTCCAGATGTGGCCTCCCCCGTGCCAAACAGAGGGGAAGAATCACTGCCCTCGATCTGCTGGCACCGCTCCTCCTACGGAGCCCAAAGCTGCCCAGAGCTCTAGCTGAGGATGGATGTGGGTGGATGGAGGGAAGGACGGATGGATGAGGTGGGTTGACGGAGGGCTGGATGGATGAGGTGCGTCGATGGATGGATGAAGGGATGGGTGGACAAGGTGGATGGATGGAGGGATGCATCAATGCTCCTACTGATACATCCCAAAGCCGCCTTGCCCTTCTGCGCAGCTGCCTGGAACTGCAGACCCCCGAGGACATCTGGGATCTCCCAAGGCTCCTAGACCCTTCCCTGTCGCCCCATCCAGCCGGGGCTCCCCTGTTTTGCAGGCAGGGTCCTGACCAGTTCCCCCTCAAGGTCCAGCCCCGTGCATGGCAACTTCCTCAAGGGGGAAACCTCAGTGATGCAAATAGTCTAGACAGGGCCCGTTGCCAGGGTGCCCGTCCGGGGAAATAGTGCATCAGCAAGTCACAAGGGGCCGGAGAAAGGTTCTGCGTCTGCTGGATAAAGCTCTGCAAGGGGGGGAAACAGCTCATTGGCTCCCCAAGCCAAGGTTTCAAAGTAATGCCTCGCCCCTTCAATGTAACTCATCCCCTGGTCAACAAAGCTGACCGCGAGCTGGGTGGAGGGGCTGGTCTTGGGGGTATGGGTGCAGAGATAGAGGGGTATAGGCCCCCCCACACACACTTTCAGCCCCTCACTGGATCCTCCCTTTAATTTAACTCAGCCCCTGGTCAGCAAAGGTGACAGCGCTGGAGCAGGAGATGAGTGGAGGGACTGGTTGCAGGGGGAGGGGCACAGATAAATAAGTGTGCAAGCCCCACCCCTCCCCAATCCCCCTACTTACTCTTCCTCAGGGACGCTCTGATTGCCACTTGCGGGGGGCTCCCATAGCTCCGGCATGTGCTGCCCTGGGTGGGGGGAGATAAGGGGGGGGCAAGCAGGGTGAGATGTGTCCCTTCCCTGTCACTCCCCCCAAGACCCCCCGATTCCCCACTGGGCCCCAGGTCTGCTGCCAGCCCCCCAGGACCCTCCTGACTCACCCTCCCTGGCCAGAGTCTCCAGGATGCTGCTACAGACGGTGGTCACGGCCTCCCACTCCTCCTCCTCGCCCGCCTCGGAAAGGACTGGGGGGGCAGGAGGAGGGGTGAAGGAGCCATCTCTGGGGGGTGTTGTTGCAGGGTCCCCTGGGGGGTCCTGGGAAGAGACAGAGTGTTAGCAGCTCCATGCTGGGGTGTGGCTGGTTCTGGGGGCTGGGTATCACAGATGTGGCTGGCTCTGGGGTGGGTGTTATGTGCTGGGTATAGTAGATGTAGCTGGTTCTGGAGTAGGGGCTGGGTGTAACAGGCTGCAGCTGGCTCTGGGGTGGACGTCTGGGGCTGGGTATAACAGAGGCAGCCAGCTCTGGGGTGGGACATGCCCCGTGCCGCGTGCACGCACACTCACCGTGCCCAGCAGCAGGTCGGGCGTGGGGTCGGGCAGCACGGGGCCATCCTCGTCACTGCTGGGGGGCCTAAAGGGGACAGGAGGCACCATGGGACCCTGCCTGGAGTGGCCCTGCCAGGGGTCCTGGGGGGCCACTTATGAAGGCAGGGAAGTCTTGGCGGGGGTTGGGGACACATTCAGGAGGGGCCTGGGGGTCACAACCAGGGGCTTGGGGGGGTCTCACATAAGGGGGCTCTAAGGGCCACAGGGG